CTTATTAAAGAAACACCAGAGTACTAATTTTTCCTCTCTCTCCATGAGCACACACTAAGAAAAAGCCATATGGGGACATAATTACAAGACTACTGTCTGCAAGCCAGAAAGAGAGCCTTCACCTGAAACCAAATCAGCCAGAACCTTGGTCTTGGACTTCCAGCCACTTGAATCGCAAGAAAATAAATTTCTGTTGTTTAAGCCATCTGATCTATGGTATCTCACTATGGAAGCCTGATATGGTTTGAATGTGTCCCCCAAAAGTTTTATGTTGAAACCATAATTCCCAATGCAGCAGTGTTAGGAGGGGGGGTCCCAGGGAAGGTTTTTAGTTTATAAGGATCCCACTCTCATGAATGGATTAAGGCCATTCTCTCAAGAGTAAAATGAGGTAGATCTCACGGGAGTGGGTTAGTTATTGGAGAGTAGCTTTGTTTTAAAAGCAACCTCTTCTGTATATGTTCTATTCCCTCCACCATGCGATGCATTCTGCCACTTTGAGACTTGGCAAAAACACCTCACCAGATGCCAAGAAGATGCTGGTGTCAACCCCTTAGACTTTCTAGGCTCCAGGATCAGGAGCATATAAACTTCTTTATAAATTGCCCAGTATGTGTTATTCTGTTACAGAAACAAAAAATGGACTAAGACACACCCCTTGCAGGTGACTCCATGGCCAGTAAGTACATGAAGTTCCACAGCTCTAAGCTTTATGTGACCCTTGTGTCCTGAGTTATTCTTGTGTACACTAAAATATATGTCACAAGGGAAAGTAGTTGTGTATGAAATGGAAATTATAAGAAACAAAGAACCACTGTCCATTTTAATACATAATCATAGACGGAACTCTTGAATATTCAAAGAGAAGAAAGCAGTGTTTCTCTGTCAGGCTCCACCCATACACACTCTACCAAGCTGAAAATTTTAAGTGTGAAGAAAAGCTGGATGGATAAGGACAAAATATTCAGTGTTATTTTATATTCGAACTATACATTCAACACAGTTATTAAAACATATTGATGGAAGAGTGACTCATAATATGGTTATGAGTAAGCTCAATATGAGAGAAGCAATATTTTTTCATCTCAAGGATTCTTCTTGAGTTCTACATTTCTAGGTAGTAGATAATGGAACCTACAGAGGAATATTTAAAGCGTTGCATGGAGTTGGACCAATAACCAGAGGCCTAGGATACTCCTGCAGACTCGTTTCTCCCTGGAATCTTCAGACCTTGGTTAGCCCCAGATTCTGAGCAGTTGTCCGTGAGCAGTACTTCCACAGCTGCCTTGACAGCTAGAGTTAAAAAAACAGAGGAAGCCAGATCCTCTTCCTCAGAATGGTCTCCACTTCAGCAAAAATGTTTGAAGGGCACGCAGCAATACTTTGGTGCTCTTATGGACTTGTTGATTGTATTCTGCCAGTATGGGTTATTACGCTATTTGTACTATGAGTATTAGGATCCAAATTGTTCACTTTTATGTCTCTGAGACCTAAATTATGGTACAAATCCAGTAAATCATCCTTCCTTGCAGCAAGAACACCATACTAATTGTCTACATCTCAAAAAAGTTTCACTTGCCTACAAAATGCTTCTCAACATTGAAAAACATGAGACTGAATTTAGGATCTCACTTAAATGTGTCATCAGGCAGACCTAGTTTTGCTATAAAGAAGCTACCTCCCACACTTATCTGAAACTTATTTATTCCTCCCCAGATTGCTGACTGACTATCCTAAAATCATTACTTTAATGTAGGATGTTTTCAACACAATGATCTCACTCGAATGCATCCTCCCATTGCAATATACACCAAGTGCTCACAAGAGTACTTGTTAAAAGATGAGGAAGAATAGGATATCATCCAGTCCAATATCTGCATTTTAGAGGTGAGACAACAGAAGTCTAGAGAGCTGAAATAACTTGCCAAAGTTCACACAAGTGAGTGCATTTCATTTCTCCAACAATTTCCTTTATCATACAAGCCCCATCTCTGCCTACCTCCTCTTGCTTCTTGATCCCTAGTGCTTGACTCATCACGGCACCATTTGTGTGTAGACTACAAGGGAGGTGACATAACCCAGGCATGTCTCTTTCTGCAAGCAGATTCTCACTGGAAAACTGGCACTCAATTCCTTGGCAGAGAAAATGCTCAAGCAGGAGCAGAGAAGAGCACACCATCTGGACAGCATGATACTTGGTGCCAACTGGGCCCCAGCGATGGGGAGGGCGAAGGCAAAAGGAAGGGTGTCACCTGACTTCACACATTTATTTTCCCTGTAAGGGGATTTGTTAGTAATTGTGCTATTCTGAGTAGAAGCCATTGTAGGTGGTTCTGACGGCTGACAAATGTGTAGGCAAGGATGAAGCAAGGTGAGTGGTAGCCAGGCAATTTGCAAATGGATTACGAGCCAGAAATAGCTGGTGGTATCTGATTACTTGTATGAATGAAGGGATACATTTTCAAAGGGCAAAAGAGGCCACACTCTTAAGTGAAATTAATAGGACACACGTGTGAATAGTGAATTGTTTCTCTGGTGTGAGAAAATGAAAGTGTAAATGAGGACCAAAATGTATAATAGATACTGTGAAATAGGAAGAAAATGTTCAAAGGAGAAGGGGAACTAAGAAGCAGGGTAGGAGAAAGAAAAGAGCGGAAAGAAAAAAATGAAAAAAGAAGAAAGAAAGGAAATAACATTTACATAGATAGGGAGGGGTGGAGGGCTGGAAGAGAGGTCAGGGGAATAGGAAAAAACAAGAACCAAGATATATCATGTACAGATACAAATCCTCAATAATTAATATGATCATAATGCATACCTCAAATGTACCAATAAACTTAATTTTTAAAAAAGTATATGTTTTCCTGTACTTCTCCCCTTTTAGAAAACTAGTAAGTACAAATATTTCCCTGTTAGTACCTAGAAAAATATCTTATATTTAACAACATTCAGTATCAAGCCTCTCCTCTTGCTAAATTTTCACAGTAATATTTTCCTATGCTACAGCTATGTGTCCCACCGATGAAAAGCCATACCTAGGTATGCAATGGTTTCCAGTGGTCAACCAGTACATCATAATTGATACTGAAGCTTTTTTCTTCTTGATTCTGTATTCTCTTCAAGATATGTATATCTTTTTGCAATATTTTTCAGATAAAGTGTGACATTACGTAATTTGTTAAGATGGCTCTGGTGAATTTTACCACAATGTGGACACAGGTATTATTTCTTCATCAGTTTTAGAATCATTCTGAATTTTCAGTTATATATCACAATACGTCATCTCCATTTTTTGTCATTATAGATTTTAGAGCATTCATACACATGGTGTCCTTTTAATTTTGATGATAATCTGGTGTTGGTAGTCATTGCTACTTTATATAAATGCCAAGAGGCTTATCACACAGAGCTCAGGCCCTGAGAATTATTTAAGTATGTGAAACATTCATTCCAGTATAGGATGTACTTGGGTTTGGATCCTCATACCTACCCTAGCCCTGAACAAATCAATGAACACCCACAGCCTTCAATAGTGGCAATCCCCACTTCTAAGATTCAGGCACATCTGAGTGAGGAAGCTGCTGGAAGAATGCTTGGCAGAGGCCAGGAACACTCTTACACGTCTCCTTTCCTTCTCTAATGACTTCGGTCCTTATGTTTTTCTACTATACAAAGATGCCTCCTTTTTCCTCTTTGAGTTTAAAAGAATAGAACCTTTGACCATGGAACATAGCAATGAGAAATGGCAGATTCAAGGGGGGAAATAAGCTCCGAACTTGAGCTAAGTAGGTTGGTCAACACTATAATTGATAAGAAAAATGAAAGGACACAAAAATCTTTAATGCATTACAGCTTTTTCGCTCCTAATCTTAATATGGTCACTTTTAAAAAGTGAAATGGATTGGTAATAGGGAGGGGAGGAGGGGGTGAAGGGAGGGCAGGGACAAGGGGCAAAACTGAGAACAAAGATCTGTCCTGTAAAGATACAAGAACCCAATAATGAATGTAACTATACTGTACACCTAAAATGTACCAATAAACTCAATGAGAAAAAAAAATGGAATGGAGGGTTTTTAGTCGTATATCAGAAGTCACCAGAAGTTAATATTGCTTCTTTATATTTCACAGTGATTTAAGTTTATGTTTAGTAAAAGAAGATTACTCTTGACAAAAATGCTAAAGTCTAAAAAGCTTCTTCTAAAATGATTTTGATTTTATTTACCTCTGCAGTAATATAAAATCTAATGATCAAGCCAAAAAATTGCATCTGGTACAACTGATCCATCCAAAATCTGCTCGAACTGGAATGATGTCCTCAAGGCAAAATCCTCAGCACTCAGAATATCTTCTCGGTTCATCAGGATCCAATTTCTGTGAAGTAAAATTTTGTGCCTTCCATAGGTAATTCTTCGGTCAAGGAGAAGTCACTGTATTCCTGCTAAAAAGAATCCATTTGTTATATTGTGTCCTTCTTTGAGTCTGACTAACGCTGAGTGACCTCATAATTTCATTACTTCTCAGCAGAGCCTAAGTAAATCACAGGCAGGAAGATTTCTTCTTCATTAGGACAGGAACGCCCTGCTGACTCTCACCATGGGGAGGTGTGCTGAATGGGCCACCCACTCCTCACCAACCTTCTCCCCTTTCTTCCAGTGGAGCACGATTAACCCTTTTTGTCTTTTATTTTTCCACATAAACCTTTTGCTTTAATAAATGAAGAATCTTCATGGTTAAGATTTTGAATCACATTTACAGATGAGGAAAACGAGGCCCAAACAGGTAAGGCTGCAGCTCCTTCTGCTGGGAGGAGTGCAGGCCCCACATGTGATTTACAACTAAAGGGCAGCAACAGCGTGCACATCACTCTCTGAACAGCTACAAGGGTGGAGGGGAGAGGCACTAGGGAGCCCTGCCACGGGAGATGCAGGATCCAGATGAGCCAGGGTGGGTCCTGCTCACACTAAGTGAGCTTCTCCCATGCTATGAGGGGGCCAAGGACATCAGCTACAAAAGGGCATGATGGGTAAATGTCGGACAGTATTAGAACAGCTGAGAGGAAGATACACAGTCAATCTTACTTCTTCAGACATAATGCAGAGGATGAACTCCACCTGCTCAAGGCTTAGTCCAAAAACTTCCTTTTTGTATTTGTACTGAACAAGGCTCCTGAACTTCTGGTGGGCTATGAGATCCAGCCGCTTTTCCAGAGTGTTGGAAACTTTTATTTTAACATCCCCATTACAGATCTCAACTCCATCAGCTATGTCCTCAGGCAGGTAGGCCTCCTGATCAATTTGAACATCAACATCTTTGTTGGTGGCAATATTGTATATAGGGATTGCTTTTTGCACCGCAGCCTTTACCAAGGGGAAATTCCTGCGGTGCACAATCATTTGGCACTCCGACAACTGGTACAAACCCTGGAGCACCAGTCCTTCCATCACAAGTTGGTTCCTGGTCGTATCTTTTACCACCTTGTTGAGCCTCTGCTTTGCTTCAGTTAGAGGTTAGTGACAAGCTCATCTCTTGCTCTGAGGACTTTCAGCCTCACTTGATTCTTCTGCTGCTCAATCTGCTTTTCCTTCTTCCCATAGTACTCCACAATCTGCAGGCTTTGGGTCTGTACAAGACGACCGTTCTTGTTGAGCTCTTCTTCTGCCTTTGCATTTGTTTCTTGTGCTTTCTCACTGGCTTCTTGGTCAATGAAAACCATTATGTGTTTAATCTGCTTTTGTATATCAGCGTCACTAAAGGCCATGGTGAACAGGACACCTTGTCAGCAAGTAACTGACTTTAGCTTAGTTTTGTACAGGGCAGTAAACAGAAGTAACCCTGTTAGTCTTGAAGGGGAAACTGTAAAAGCAAAGTTCAGAACCACCCTTCCCATTTTCTCTTTAAGAAAGATTGTCCTGCTCTGTACCTGGGCTCTGGCCACCTGACACTCTAAGACACAAAAGCTGGCACCTAACTAAATGAGTGCACATTTTGACCAGAGGCCACAGTGAGTGGATACAAGCTACAGCAGAGTCAGTGTGTAATATATCTCCTTATATTTATTTCTTCAAATAAAACCTAGTACTCTAGCTTTAAAATATAAAATCACAGCAGAGAAGAAAATGCCAATTAAACCATCTTTAATTGCGAAAGTACATTAAAAATTGAATCTAGTTACCAGTATGAAATACGATCCTACACATCATGGTGGATAGATAAGGGAAAAAGATAGATGGAAACTTTGTCTAATGGACTTGAATTTGGGTTTGTCTATTGTCCATTCATGAAGCAGATTTTTTTTCAATTCTAGCTACCAGGTAGATGTTAACTAAATACAGGGCAAAATTATTTAAAATTTTAAACATCAAACTCTGATGTTAACTAAGTACTGAGTGAGAAAATTTAAAACTCAACTATGAGAAAAATGGTCCATCAATTATCATTTACAAATTTTGAATAAACATAGGGATAAACTTCCAAAACATATTTACAAATAGAAGGATGTGAATCCCTGTAGAAATCATGTCATCTTCCTCATGACTAATAATGCCCAGGATATCCCAGGCACATGGGTATTATAAAATACTTTAAATCTAGCATATTAAGCAATGATAGAACAGACCAGAAATGTCTACATGTCTCCATCTATTTTTTTATGGGCAGCTGTTATATACTCTCCTCTCTATCCTTGGTCATTCTAAGTCTAGGTCACATGTTTACCCCCTGCAAGGTGTCTGTAGGACCTCAGAAACCACAGACTCTCTGTCCAAAGCATTGTTCCCCATACAAGCATATTTAACTTTTTCTCACAAGGTCATTTTCTCTAACCTTTAATTTTCTTTTAGGTGTTGTAGGAAATTTCATTTATCTTCCCTAAAATTCCCTTCAAAATGTCATCTGATTTATGCCCCCCCCACTGATACAGAAAATGTGCAGCTTCTCCATGGCCTAAAAAAAGAGAAAAAAAATGTTACTCTCATTCTTTTGGAGTATGCACAGCTATGAGGAAAAGTGCATATTTAATGAACACAATAATTGGTTTACTAGCATATTTCTGAACACTCTGCAAAGAAATTAACTCAGGAAAATGTCATGAACTCAGACTTTACTTTGTCAGAAAATTTCAACTGTTTGTATCTTTATCTATTTACATAAATAGTTTAAAATATATTGATAAGTACAGTAAGAATGTTTCCCTCAAAGCAGGTGAGGAAAGCAAGTCATTAAAGATTCCTTAAGAAATGACACACATTTGTCATCTTTTACGTGGGTATGTTTTAAATAACTATCAACATTAAACCTCTCATCTTGTCCTAAATATATTTATAAATGTAGGTTACATTTCCAGTGAACATTACTTTGAGAGAAAAGTATACAAAATATTTGCCATAATATGGGCATGGAGATTGATAAAGCTGACTGTTACCATGAATTAAATCAGGCCCAAATCTCTCTGCCCTTACCTCCTGCCACTGTTCTGAAAGATTTCACACCTGCCTGGCTGGCTGCTCTTCAGACACACCAAACCTGCTTCCCCTTTGAGATGCTAGTGCTTATTACTCCATTGCCTGAAACATTCCTCCCAATTACCCATCTGACCTACCTTTCATCTGGTCTCTGCTCAAAGATTATGTTATCAGAAAGGCTTTGGTCATTGATCTTTAGAAAACAGTTCTCACCTCCAATCCACCTGGCATCAACTGCACTCACACTTTATCCCTTTACCCTGCCTGCTGTGATCTGAATGAATGTGTTCAGTTCAAATTCATGTTGAAGGCTGAATTTTCATTAAAGTTCAATAAAATCATTAGAGTGGCACCCTGGTTTGGCAGGATTAGTATGCTTGTAAGAAGTGATACCCCTCTCTCTCTCTGTATGTGTGTGTTTCTCTCCCTCTCTTTCTCCCTGTCTGTCTCTCTCTCTCTGTGTTTTACACACACACACACACACACACACACACACACACACACACACACACACACAGGTCATGTGAGCACAAATCAAGATGGAAGCCACCTACAGCCACGAAGGAAGTCTGCAAAATAAAACCTATGTCATCGTCATCAGCACCTTGATCTTAAACTTCCCAGCTTCTAGAAATATGAGAAATAAAAATAAGTTGTTTAAGCCACTCGGGCTGTGGTATTTTGTTATGGGAGTCCAAGTCAACTTACATTCTACACTACCTTCACAAAAATATACCTTAAAGTATACCAATAAAATATATCTTCATTGCACCTATCATGGCTTAGCGCCACATCTCTGCTTTTAGTGTGTTTCACATCTAGATAGGAGGAATTGTGAGAGCAAGGAATTCACCACAATCTCTATGTGTGAATCTCCAGCACAGAGAGGAGTGATACATCATAGATACTCAACCGATACTTCCTATTTATTACTTGGATAGTCCTTCCCTACTCTGAAATGGCAAGACTTCTCTGAAACAAAAAAATCAAAGAAAATGTATTTTGTGTGTTTCCTAGTTTATAGTCATGAGACACAGCAAGAATACAAAATTCACTCTTCTATGTCCAAAATAGAGCACACCAGCACCACCTGTGACATTGAAGTGAGGAATAAACAAAGAAAAAAAAAGAGCAAAAGGAAAACATGACTATCCCATGAGCAAACCGGGAAGCCATTCCAATCTAAAAATTATTTGGATATATAATATTTAGATGGCATGGAAATAAAACCACAAACATGCATCAGTTTTTATTTTGGAGAGAAGAGCAGTTACGTTTGCTCTTATAGTTGTCAAATGTGTTCTTCCCAGATTCCAAGGATCCATAATAGCCAGCTAGAGACTGTGGGCTGACAGTTCTATTGATAGACTTGAGCAACACACTGCAGTCTGTCAGGTTTCACATTTACATCTTAGAATCGAATCTGTTTTCTTTCCCTCATGAAATCAATTCCGTAGCAATTAAATAAGCAGCTCATAAGGCATTTTAATAACCCAAGTATTTATCTATATAGCTCAGAAAGGGGGAAGTAATTAGAAGTGATCTACTATCACCAGTGCTGAGGGACAGATTAGACAAATCAGTGTTTCATCGTTTCTCTAAGGAGGTAACACTTTATCTGCTTCACTCTCGACTCAGTCCTTCTCAGTGACAAGCTGATGAGCCCTTTCATTTGGTCCTTAGAGGACACGGACTCTAAAATGGTTGTCATTATCTGGGATTTTGTTTCATTTTCTGTGAACTTAGGCATTACTGAAATAGACTCTGCTTTTAGCTGTAGGGTGATGTCATCACAAGCACACAGTACCGGATGAAGTAGGCTTTGAAAGATGGGAAAAGGCTCAAGGAAAATGACTTTCCAGATCCTTATTCATTTGAGTGTTTCATGCTGAGTCCCAAAGGTTGAGAATTTCTCGTCCAATTTTAGAAAAAATAAGAAGGAATTGCCCTAAGATCTAGTCCAGTTTTATTGGTCTTCTCCTTGATAATTTAGTTTATAATTTCATATCTGTAGCCTGCATATACAAGACAGACATCTAATAGGTTTAAAGAGCACAGAATTTAGCTTTGAAAAACCAAGTCTAATTCCTGGCTCTGCTTCTTACTAGCTACCATCAGTCACTAAAATTGCAGAGCCTAGATGAGCTCATTTATATAAAAGTAATAAAAATAGCATTTGCTGACTTTTAGATGAACATTTCTTTTCCACAGTAGTAACTGAAATTGAGGTGCATCTTATAAATTTCTGGTTGCTTTCAATACCCCTTTCTCCCTGGCTGTATTCACACAGTCCTTCTTTCTGACTTATCTCTCTGCTGAACCCAAGTTTGGAAGCTTCTACACTGGAAACTAGAATTAATGTGGGATATGAGCAAGGTACATTTCCTTAATCTGTTATCTAGCTCTATCACCTATCTGCTGTGATCACATACCTACCAGATACTACAAGTTATAAGGCACCTAAGGAATAATTAAGAAACACACAGAGGGCTGGGGGGAAGATTCAAACCACATTTACAAGAAGCACAAAATAAAACTTCTAAGTAATTAAAAGCATGTGGTTATGGTTAAACAGAATCTGTTTTTTGTTTCCATGATGGCACATTTTAAAAAACTGTTTATAATCGATGACATATTGAATTTGTGAATCATAGTACCTGCAACAAGGTTGGGTAAGCTCATGTGAGGAAAAGTGCTTTGTAAATGACAAATGTCAACACAAATTAAAAACTTGATAATGACACTTTGTCAGGAAGCAGTTGAAGATAATTATGGTAAGCAAAACTCTAGTTATGTCAAGCAGGAAAGGGTTTTTCAAGGTTCGTGTAAAATCTTTGAGAGGCCTGTAACAGCAGGCTCCAGGCAACACCTCTGAGAGTGGCTTTCAAAGCATTATGACGACACTGGGCTCTCAGACATTTGCTGCTTCTACAAGAGTCAGAAAGCTGGGGAATCAGAAGTTAATCTCTGAATGTTAATTACAAAAAATCAAAACAAAACAAAACTATAGTGTCTTAACTACAACCCAATGATCAGAAAACTACCAGCAGGATTATTCACTCTGGAGCTGGCCACATAGGTAAATAGAAGCCTCCTACACTGAGAGCTGCTTCTCCACAACCAAAAGTCAAAGGATGAGCCACAGGATCTGTGTTAATACAATCACTGAAACAGCCCTGGCCTCTGTGACAGCAAGAAACAAGGGAAGCAGCAGAGAGATGATCCAACTCATCTTCTCCCTTTGTATGTTATAAAAGTGCATCTAACTTATCAGACATAAACTAAGAATCCTGGCTAC